AGCAGGTTTGATATTTTAATTTTATCCAAGATCTAATCAAATAGATTGCAATCACTGACAAAATACCACATTATCTTACTTTGTGTTCTGCATATCATTCTAAAAACATTCCCTCATACGTAAGCTTATACATTCTTCATAAAAGGTGACTGTTGTTGTAATAGGCTAAATGTGGCTTTGTTAAAAATAAATATGTATCTGTATGCAGAGATGCTCTGCTACTAAACACCCTGCAGACTTTTTGAAGATAGTGCTATGACATTAGACGAGCTTACATCAATGCCAGGGTTGCCACAGGTCAGGAATGGTTTGGGAAAAAAAATTATTCAAGTTCAGAGAAAAGTCAGAGAATTTTGTTTTGAGTCAGGGAAAATTGACATTTTGAAGAAAAGTCAGGGAAAATTGAAATAATTTAATATGGCTGATTTAATACCATTGAACGCTAGAAGAAACATTTGGAGTCACTGTGATCACTAACTAAAGATATTTTTACTTTATGAAGAAGGAGAATTTATTGAAAACTTACCAGTCCTATTGAATGAGTTGAAAGGACAGCTATAAGTTCATTCCAGAAGCCACTACTAGATCTGACATTTTGCATTTATTTGAGGGAAATTGTATTTTTACCAGTACAAATCAAAAGTCAGGGAAACGTCAGGGCATTTTGATAAGTGATGTCTGTGTCAATGCAGGTTATTTTTGGATCATATATCAACAATAATTTTTGAATACACACTGATAAATGAGAAGTGGATGTGTAGTTATCTTATTTTTATAAATATTTTCCAGTGTGCCAAAAGGTGGAAAGAAATCCAGCAGACCTCAGCACTAAGTACGATTAATCCCTCCCTGATGCATTCATCTGTTGGTTCCAAAAACCTTTCCAGCTTCCTCAACTCTGTCCTGCATTTTGCTGATGATAAAGAATCAGCAAGTGTGACAGCAACACAGGGGACGATTAGAACAAACTCTCAACCAGCTACCAGAGAAGCTAACTGTATAGAGGAACAAAGTGCTGCT